TGCTGTTGGCAAAGGTGATGTCGCCATTGAGGGAATGCATGCTGCCTGCGTGCGATTTGGTGGGTTTGGCATGGCTGAGTTGAAACAAGCTGTGCAAGGACCCTGGAAGGCCCTTTACAAATTGCTGAACAGATCTGAGCCAATCTGCTTCCCGCGAACTCCAGCATCCTGATCCTGGCCCAATGCGTCTGCCCAGAAACAGCAACATACACCTAAAGACTTCAGAGTCCTGCTCTTCTTAGGCTACAGGTGATGGCGCGCGTCCGCACCCAAAATGTCCACAATTCACGGACTTTGTTGGATTCAGTTCGAGGCTTGCAATGTCAGGTTCTGTGGCACACACAAGTCTGTTCGCTTCAGGCAGGACCAAACCGCTCTTGCAGAGGTCATCTGGACGAGAAAGCTCGCCACAGCTTGACATGTTGTCCTGCGAGGCCAAAATCCTTCCCAACAGATCTCCGCGAGGGGTCTCATGCAGCTTCACAGCTTCACGCTGCTGGCGTGCGCAAAGGCTTCTGTTGGAAGCGCGAAAATGCGCTTCGCGCCTGCTTTGCTGCCACATGCAGAAGGTTCCTAAAAACATCGGCTTGATGCGAAACCACATCCCTTCCTGAGACAAGCCACTTTATCCGCCGCCCCCTGGGGCCTTGTTGGATGGAATCAGGAAATGGAGAGGGTGGAAACCCTTCGCAGGGGGCCGGGGGGGGGGCTCATCTGTGCCACAGGTGCTCACCCCAAGCCAAGGCTCTCATCAAGGCCTGGACACGTCTGCAACGAATGCAGTGTTGCAGCACCTTAGCAGGAATATCACCCCAAACAGCAGGTGCCCAAGGCCCTGCAAATTCACGGCAGCTTGGCATGTTGCCCCGATCGGTTTCGTGCGCGGCCACTGAGAACAGCAACGTGCTGCGGAGTCCCGGCAGCCCGGCTTGAACTACTCTTGTCCCCTGCTGAATGCGCTTTTGTTGATGATTTTTGGGGCAGACCCCCAAGGCCCTGGGAGCCGTGCTCTTGCCGGCTCTCATCAAGGCCTGGGCACGTCTGCAATCATGGACTGCGGATGACTGCGGTGTTGCGGCACCTTAGTAGCAACATCATACATACCCAACAGCAAGCGCACCAGGTCCTGCGGAGTGGGGTCAGCCTGTCTTGAGCTTCTCTCGCTTGCGCAGATGGGTCTCGTGCCCAGCCACTACTGAAAACATTAAGGTTTAGGTTTAAGGTTTAGTTTAGGGTGTAGGGTTTACAGGGTTTAAGGTTGAGGGGTAACGCCGTCGTTGCGTTCGCGACTTCTCCGTCTGGGCTGGCGGACTGAGCCGGAGGCTCTTAAAGTCCGGCCTGGCCGTCGTGGCCGAGTGCGGATGCACGCCTAGCTAAAGCTACAGCAATGCTTTATTTAGGGCCTGGCAGCAAGCCCATTCCAGCTCTGCTGATACTCCCCATTGGGAGAAGTGCACGAAAAAAGTTATGTTCTTTCTACCTGGGATGTTTTTTTAGGTTTTGAAGACCCTGTTCTCTCTAGTTTAACCGAAGGCGGCCCAAAATGGGGTCCCGATTGGGTGATGATGTTCCTGTACGAGGCGCGCGTACCCAAAAACAAGCCTTCAGGGCTTCAAAGGCCGGATAGGGGTGCGGCACAGACCGCCGACTCCTGTCAGGAATGGGCTTGAGGGTCAACACTCAAGGCGTTTTTGGACACCTGTTTGTGGGTTCCCCCCTGCTACGGAGGAGGGCAATTTTTCTCAGGCCAGCATCATCAGCACAATTGGGCCTTCGCTTCTGACTTTTCGACACCTCAACATGCCTAGCTTTTTGGAGGGGTGTTGGAACCTCGTACACGTGGAGTCCAGAAGGAAATTGGGGGCCCAAACAGGCCCCAGGATGCTGATGATGCTGGCTCTTCGGGGGCTGCTGGGGCCTTACAGTGCTCTATAAACCGCAACAGAACGCTCAACATATGTGCTTTGGGCAGTGTTTGTGGCCGTAAATACCTGTATTGGTAGCACCTGCGCTGCATGATAAGCGTGCGCAGGGCTTTGCGTGCGTTGCCCAGACCAAACCCTATAAACTGTGAATGTTGAATGTTTATCCTTAAAAAAGGCGTTTCGTGCATATTTCCAGCACTTTTGTGATTCCTAAAATTGGATTTTGCATCAAATTAGCTTCTGAAATACGCTAGAATGTTGTTTCTGATTTGCAAAAATGTACTTGTGGGCTAAAACATGATCAGCCTGCACAGAGAATTTCAGAGAACCATGTTGAACGCCGTTTGTGATAGCTTCTCTTGTTTTTTTTCACCTTTTCTGGTCCCAGTCTAGCCAAAATGGGGTCCGCCGCGCGCGCGGCCCACGTACAGTAGCATCATCAGCACAATTGGGACTCTGTTGTGGGTCGCTTTCAATTAGACTGGACTAGAGAGAACAAGACCTTCCAAATCTAAAAAACAATCGCGAGTAGCAAGAACATCATTTGTCGTACGCTTCTCCCGGTCGGGAGCATCAGCAGGGCTGAGGAGGGCTTGGCTTTCACATGATGAGTGTGTGGGGGGGGGGCAGCTGCCCACGAAATAACGTCTCAGGACATGTCTCGCCCTTCTGGAAACACCATCCCAGGATGCAGCTCCGTCCCTATCGCCTCCATGACTCCCTGCAGAAGAGTTCGTGATGTGGATGCTGCTGGTGGCAAAGGTGATGTCGCCATTGAGGCTGCCTGTGGATGTGAGGTGGGGGATCACGCAAGGTCGTGAAACGTCACTGAAGCGGTGTCAGGAAATCTGCTACACCCCAACGAGGCTGCCCAGAAACAGCAACATACACCTAAAGACTTCAGAGTCCTGCTCCTCATTAGGCTACAGGTGATGGCGCGCGTCCGCACCCAAAGTGTCCACAATTCACGGACTTTGTGGGATTCAATTCGAGGCTTGCAATGTCAGGTTCTGTCGCACACACAAGTCTGTTCGCTTCAGGCAGGACCAAACCGCTCTTGCAGAGGTCATCTGGACGAGAAAGCTCGCCACAGCTTGACATGTTGTCCTGCGA